GGCCGGCCCTTGCCGGCCGTCCGGCAACAACATTCGTGCACTTTAACTTAAAATGACTTAAACTGACCTGAAATGAATATAAATACTGAATTTACTCGAAATCATGAAAGTTTACACGATAAACCGAACATGGTCGTGGCGAGCGCACCGTGCGCCGCCGACGACGTTAGGCCGTCTTTCGACCGAACCCACTTGTCTCTCGGCAATTCATACATGACTGAACATAAAACATGATTTACTGAATAAAATAGCATGAAGTGCTCGAAGGACTTGAACTTAACATACTCGACACACACATATGGCCCGTGGTGCGCTACATGCGCGACCACATCCCGTGGCCGAACCCCCGAGCTAACCTGATCATTCATCCGAACAATTCAAACTGAATAAACATGATAAATCATGAAACGACTAAACGCACGACAATAACTCAATTAATTCAGATCAAACACGAACATGTTCAACCTAGACTTCACGCACGGTTAACACAACTAAACTCTAACTCATGCGTATTGCCGAACAACTAGCTTAAGGATGATCTTATTAACTGAAAACATAGTAAAATCGAAGCTACCTCTTCACTCGCTTGCTGACTTACACCAGGTACTCCCGGCGTTCGGCGCTCGTGCGTGGTGCTCGCGGTGTGGCGTGCGGTGCTTGCGGTAGCAACTTTCCGTGCGTGTGGTACTCAAAAATCTCACTAACTTCACTCTTTATAATATATATATATGTATGCTGAATAATACTAACGGGAAGGTGGGAAAATTTTCATCCCTAATGCTCCTTTTATACTAAAACCGTGAGAAAGAAATGGATGATGAGGTAGTGATGGGGTCTCGCTTCCTTGGTGCCACTTGCCACCAAATAGGAGCTCAAAACTTATGACTCATCCCTTAATCTCTCTTCTTAAGCCACGTATAAAGTCTAAGGAGAAGGAATGATTTTTCTTCCTTATGAAGAATTTCCCACACGGCTTTAAAACAAATTTGGAAATGGCTAACGACTTTTGCCATTTAAATTGTGATTAACTGCTAATTAATTACCTCATTATGTTTAATTATTAATTAAACATAATGCTTAATTACCAAAATTATTCCAAACGTAAACGGAACGTCGAAAATAATTTTAGATAATTTCGACTGAAATTAATTAATTTCGAAAATAATGCTCGACAATATTATTAAATCGGAATTAAAACATGATTTATATTTTTAAACTGATGGGATATTA